CCCAAACAAACAACCCAAACAAAACAAAAATTCACCCGCAGTTGGAAAAGAGCACATTGGACGTTGCGTTCCCGTCTCTGATCTCCACCACGTCCTTGGAGCAGTTGACGGCTCTCTCCACGCTGAACTGCGTGAAGTTGAACTGCAGGAAGTGACCCACAGGGCCGCGGATCGTCCACTCGCAGTCCAGGTTGTTGCCATAGTGACTCGGGAAGTTGGGGCTGGTCAGTTGACCGCTCGAAGCAACCAGGTTACCGCCACAGGTGTCTGAAGAGAGGGGAGGGGGAGGATTTTGGTGAAGTCATTTCTGTTTCTAAATTAACCATATCCCTCCGCCCTGGGGTTATTTTGTACCCCCCGTTGTTATTTTGTACCCCCCGTTGTTATTTTGTACCCCCGGGGTTGTATTCTTCACATTTTAGAATACTTCTAGTACGAAGATCTCTTTGAAACTTTCAGTATTTCTCAAAAAATCATTTTGACAGACTGTTATGAAAAGCGTACGGATCGGATTAACGAGTAAATTTCCTCTTTGGAAAGTGGCGGCTCAGAGTTCCCGATGTCGTATGGATCGACAGTAAAACACGACGTACGGATAGGGTTAATGGGAAGAATACTTGAAGTGATTTTCTTTTGATCTGAAGACAACATTTTATGTTACTGTTGTACAATGTATTGTATTTGTAAAACACTCAGAGCCTGTGTACTTTAATCGGGGTTGAGCGCTATATAAATGTCATTTATCATCATTATTGTTGTTGATAATTACAAGGTAATTTTTTAAAAAGTTCATAGTCATCATCATCATTATCATCATCATCACCATTATCATCATCGTCTTTTTTTGGGTGGGGGTGGGGAGAAGTGATGGAGTTGGAGATGGATACAGGTAGATGAGAGAGAGAGTGAGGTGAAAGATTTAGTTCAACATTTAGTTTGAGTAAGAGTTCAAGACCGCTGAAGCAAAGCAACACAGGGACACCGGTTGATGAGGGTGATGATGATGATGATAATGATGATGCAACTATTTTTGACGATGATAATGACCTATATTTAAGAAAAACAACTTTACAAACAAACAAACAACCCCCCTCTCCACACACACACAAAAAACCCCCCAGAAATCCCTTCCTCTACCCGAAACAAAAAAAAAACCCTGCAAAAAGCACGTACCGATAGAATAACGAATCCTGAATCCCTGGCGAGGGATGCTGTCATCAGTTCTGAACCGGGCGAGGAGCAAAAACAAAACAAAAAAACCCCCAACAAAAACAAAAACAAACAAACCCCCCCCCAAAAAACAACAACCCCAAAATCCACTGGGCAAGACATTGAGGACGAGAGGACGAGACATCTCCCCTTGAGTCCCCAGCCACTCAATATGGGCCACACAATCCAGGTGATTTAGATTTTGCATAATTCTCTTTCATTTCATGGATAAACTGTTGGGACGTTGGGACAGGGTCTCTGCTTCACAAAAATGGG